TAAAGGGTTCCATTGTTGCGTCCTCCCCTGGAGAACGCGAACCCACTCTGCCCCGCAGGGGAGACCTTCGTAAAATATTACTGCCGAGCAACAAACTGCATTCTGCAGGCTGTATACTGTTAATTTTATGCCCGATTTTTTGCCCACTCCAACTCTAACTTCATCCCAACCCCCCCCCCCTTCTTTACCTCGCAGCCCTCGCTTTCTTCAACCATCCCTCGATGTTGTTACACAAGAGTCTGTGATCCAAAGTGCCAATGATAATAAATATTCATTGAATTATTCTCAAAAACAACATTGAAAGAAGCGTGCAAAATAATATCTATCCTTATATCATTTATAATTTCTATGAAATACTGTGTGCGTTGTAAAAAAATTTGATTTTGCGATAAATGATTTCATAAAAATTCTTTTTTGCATTCACACAATAATCTAGCAATCTCCTTTTAACTTTAAAAATTTATTAATTTGAAAACTTTAAATACAATTATAAAATTTTAATAAAACAATTAATGACTCAAGAACATCAAATGTAAGAAAACAAAATAAAAAAGGTAAATGTGAAGTGCAATAAATGATGCAGTGTAAATAATTAAATCGACGATACTAAAATAAAGTCAACAGATTAAAAATTACACACATATTGTAAAAATTTATATGAGACAATATGTGAGAAATTACAAATGCAAGAGATAAAGTTGCGCTACATATGCTCATACTCATTAAGACATGTATTTTCTGATAGACATCTTAGGATTCGATCGAACTCTTTGCTTGAAAGAGTTAGTAATCCGAGAAACGGGCAAATCGGGTCCCGCAATTTCACGAGAACAATGCGAGACCGCAATTAATAGAGCCTGTAATCGGATGCACCCTGCGTTCTCTATGCAAATTCGATCGGACACGGTTTTAGAAATTCGCCTTGGCCCTTCTCGTGCGTCAACAATACGCCGACTTCGCCGACAATGGGAAATAATAAACCGTGATAAATAGCTGAGCAAATACACGTCTGCGATTGCGATGTTCTCCGCCTCGGTTTCTCTCTCTTTCTCTTCGTATGTTCTCGATTCCAGGTGCAGCCGCTTGAATTCCAAAATAAATATGTTTGGCAAATACCTAGGGTGGCCCGTGTCAGAATAAATGAATACTGGTATTAATTTTTCCGCTTACTTCTTCTACCGAACTCAATTTGTCGCCCGATGCGAAAAAAAGTGACATTTAAGCGCGTAAGAACTCATTCTTCTTTTGCGTCGAGAACAATATTTATGATTTAATTTATCGTCTTTCAACAACTCAAAGTTAACAAAACAAGCGTCACAAAATTGATTAAAGTTGATAAGTGCTATTTAGATATGTATTGCACATGTCAGCTTCAAATGATCGACCATTATAATTGATTTTTATAACACCATAATTCTATTACTTATTGTAATGCGGAATAATTATCATAAAATAAATTATATAATGTAATTATAATAATTCTCTCTAAATTCTTTTATTTACTT